CCTTTAATGTCACCAGCATGCCTCCTTCCTCCCCTCTGGCCAGCTGCTTCCCCTCATCCCCCTCTCCACTGACACCTGGGCTTTCCTTCTCCCAACCTTCCTGTGAGCCCAGAGCAGCAGCTCTGCCCATGCTCTCAGGGCACTGTGGGGCAGGGGTAGACAAACCCCAAACCCACCCCCATTTTCAACAAACTACTGTAATAATTGGCACCAGTGATTAGGAAAGATACAGTTTCAACTTCCATGCATATCAAGAAAGAAGTAACTTGACAATGGTTAAAACTGACATGCATTTTGGGAACTATTTCTCATGTATCCCATTCCTGCATGTTACCCACTGATCCTCTTTCCACACTGTTACAGTTGGTCTCTGATGAGATCATATTGCCCTCTTACTTTCTCAATTCTCTCTCTCGCTCTCTCTCTCTCTCTCTAATGCAACTACATGGCCACAATCCAAATCTGGGATGCTAGAATCGAGGGATGAACCCCTTCCACACAATTTTTTTTCACTGAAACACACTTGCTGAAATGGCAGTGTTTTGTTTTGTTAAAGAAAGAGAACAGACAATACCATACAAACATGTTTTATAATGTATATTTAAATATTCCAGACTCCCGCCAACCTAGCGGTTCGAAAGCATGCAAATGCAAGTAGATAAATAGGGAGCACCTCGGTGGGAAGGTAACAGCGTTCCGTGTCTAAGTCGCACTGGCCATGTGACCACGGAAGATTGTCTTCGGACAAAACGCTGGCTCTATGGCTTGGAAACGGGGATGAGCAGCGCCCCCTAGAGGCGAACACGACTGGACAAAAATTGTCAAGGGGAACCTTTACCTTATTAAATATTCTAGAAGCCTACCAATGTGAACATAATGTTTGAGTAACATGCCATGGCTAATTGTGGCTTATTGATGAGGTGCTAGAGTATATCTTAATCATATGCTTAGCAAGAAACCTGATTGTACAACTAAGATGGGCACCATCATATCATCAATTAGCCACAATTAGCCAAAATGGATTACAAAAAAACATTTATATGAAGACAAATATGGTTCTAGCTAGTTTGATTTAGTTGTTTTGCATTTAGAATACAAGTGGTCATTCCATAACAGATGAAAACATCTATCATTTCAGGTATTTAAAAAAACTATTTTTACTTTGGACACTGATTAGTCTGCAAGTGTAATAAATTAAAAAAGGAAGATGCCATGATTGGGCCTAATCAAATGTCTGAGCAATGGCCCCATCCTATATGTGTTGACATTTACACACATTCCAGTTTGCTACACTGAACTAAGTATACAATACCATTCATCTAATAAGTGAATGCAGTGGTAGCTCTGATGTTACATAGATGCATCCCAAATTGTAGGGAACTGTTTTATGCACATTTTCAGAGTTTTGGAAGACAGTCAGTATATAGTTCTATATGCTGGTTTACCATCCTTGGATAGCTAATAGTTGCTTAATAGTCTAGGATAGTTAATCACTTTTCACCAATGGGAGCAAAGGTCAGTAATTGGTTACCTGATTGTTGGGAGCAATTCCCAAGCTTTTAAAGTTTGATGTCCATGAAAAATTGAACAAGAGAACACTTATCCAGCTGAGAGGAAAGGAAAAAGTAAAACAACTACAAGCAGTTGATAGTTTAAATTAGACTGTCAAAGAATGTGCTAGCAAAACTCTTTCTGCTTACAAGCTAAAAACTGGAGCACAACAGCAGGACAAACTGTAAATTGCATTCTGGCAAGCTAATGTAAGTGTTATTATGTGCTTATTTTATTTATTTTAGACCTCTATGTATTTGCCTTTATTACAGTCCACTTATACAACTGAAAAGAAAGCAAGTATTATAAAAGCAACAGCAATCTCCAGTGTTAACTCATTTGAAGAAAACTAAGCCTACTGGCATTAGCCAAGGAATTCCCAACTGCTAGAAGTGAGGAATATGTAACAGTATGTAATGACTTCTCATTGTATTTAATCATAATTACTTACATTTTCCCTACTGATTAAGCAATCAATACTTTGCAGGGGACAAAATGCATCAAATTGCCTGTAGCAATGACCAGTCAGTGGATTCCATAGAAAATATTCTCCATTTTCTAGTGTTGCTACATAAGCTACTTTCCCCTATATTAGCAAAAATAGAAAGCATCAGCTTCCATCGCACACCAAAGAGAAATTAAACATTACTTTTTAGTAGCAAAACCAAGCAAATATCTTGTGCCATATTCAAGATTGCTTTACTTTATGTGACACAACCCGGATATGGATACCATGTGGCTTATGAGCACCATGCAGCCCCAAGGTGCCCTTAGCGTACACATAACAAAAAAGCAAACTGTGCTGTTTATATACCACCCCATAGCACTTAATGCATTCTCTGGACAGTTGGTCTAGGTGACTGAAATTATGTCTGTTAGTGTGCATCTGTGGTTGGAACTCCCAAGATTCTGCCTGGGAGATTCTTGGAGAATTCTGGGAACTGAAGTCCAAAGAAACCAAAACCAAATGGCACATCCTTCATATGCAAAAACATGCTGAAATCCTGTTGCACAACTGAGTGTCTAGCGGAAATTATGCCAGTAGTAGCAATAAATGGCTGCTGATTAAAGGCTTCATTTGGCAATTTGGGGATGTATGTAACTTGTATGCAACATGATTAAATTGCATGCACCCCAAAATTACCAAAGCCGCTTAGAGTGGTCACAATTTGACTAGATAAGCGGGGTATAAATGAAACAAACAAACAAACAAACAAATAAATAAATAGATTTTTAATAATCAGCTTTTGTTGATGATATGGATGTCATTCCTGTTGTGGATGAGAAGTTGTACAACAGGATTTCATCCACGGTGATTTAGTGATGTATTAATTTCCACTATGCTACTACTTCTCCTGAAAAGTTCATGTGGACACTACTGATGCTCACCAATGAATTAGCTGGAAATGTAGTATCTTTGTAAGAAATTATCCTGCATATCCTATTCACATAAATATAACTAAGTATTTTAATATGCATTAGAGAAGGCTGAAAAGCCTGGGCCATGCTAGCTCCAGACAAAGAACAATGGTGTGTGTAACTCTTTGCAAACATTTATAATATACTTTAAAAAAATAATAAAAACACATTAATGATCACACATGATAATCTTAAATGAGACTAAGTTCCAGTCAAAAGGAATTTCACATAACTTATCCTAAAACATTGTTTCTTTAATTTTAATAATAAAATTAAACAAGCAGAGTCAACCAGAATTACACCTACCTAACATAGACTCCAATTGCTTTTCTTCCCTACCTATTTGATCCTGTTTGGTATATCATGTGACTTTATATTTTTGTGAAAAATTAGATATATATAAGGATTAAAATATTCACTACACTTACTTCTAAGACTGATGTTCCCAACAATACCCATGCTTTCTTCCTAATATACAGAAAATAATTACACAGAAGCACTGCATGCTCTTCTTTATTACAAATGCCCATTTTGATGCAGTCCTATGAGAAATGTAAGTTACTTTGTTTTAAAAAAAAGTTGATATATTTTTCATCTTCCCACAAAATGATACCACAATAAAATCACCATGACCAACTTCTAGAAAAGATAAAGCTCCTCAGGCAGCAATATATTAAACAAAAGATTAACTTCAAACAAGAAAAAAAAAACCTAGGCTCCCACAAATTCAAAGAAATTGTATGTTATACATCTCGGAGAACTGGGGAAGCAGCAAAAAGGCACCTAAAGCTTTATCAAATACAGTAATAAGGAATCTGAATTTAATCCACAATTTAACCACTGCCCCACTGAATTAAATAAGGATTAAAAAGTTAAAATAGTGTTGCTGCTCAGTTTTCTGATGCAAGCATATATGCTTTGCCATGGTAACGGAAGAATCTTCAAAAGCATCTTCTACAAGGCCTAAAGGGCAGTGAGAGTACTACCTCTAGGAAGAACACAGCAGCTTCCTCTCAGCCAACAATGTGGCAGAAAATGGAGCCCTGTAATACTAGGCCTTTTTCCAGATGAGTAAAATGAAGGTATTTGCAGGTGTGGGTCTGTGAAGTGAAGCTCCCAGAATGTTGTTTAAGGAATTCTTGGAGAATTATTGGAATTGGAGTCAAGAGCAGGGTGGAAAATAAATGTCACATCTCTAGTAACCAAGGCATGTATGACAGTCGCTTGGCATGGGATCTTTGCATATTTCTTGGACTATAGTTCCCAGAAGTCTGTTGGAAGACCACCAAATAGATTTCTGAGGTCTTCAGCCAAGAAATCAAAGTCCTTTAATAGATAGATATAATTTTATTACGGTCAAAAGATCAGCCACAAAGTCCTTTAAAGAGCTTGGATCAGCAGGGCCAAGTTTTGTATTTATATACTTTATGTTTGTCATAGTTTATAGCTGAGAAATAAATGCTCCATATAACATCCTGAATCTTCATGAGGAAGGGGGAAGTGCCTAGGTGATGCTAAGCTCTCTGGAAGCTGCAAAGCATTAGGGGTCTCATAGCCTCCCTGCCCATTATGTTCATACTGGGTGCCTCTCAGAAAATTAGCAGGTTTACAATGCGTTGCTCCCAAAGCCTATCCCCTTCCAGCCACTTCCCCCATCTTCATAAAGATTCATCATGTCAAAAAGCCTTTATGACTTTGAATTTTTTGCTTGAGGCCCTGAAAGTCTGGCTGGGGGAATTCCTGCAAACTTCTGGGGGCTGTAGTTGAGAAAACATGAAAATCCTAAACCTTACTGTTGCTAAGTCAGTATTTTTAATGGTTAAGAACTACAATTACATTTAAAAAATACATTCAAAAACACAACTCTTTTAAAAAATCAGCAAAACAGTAAAAAAATATATATTAAGCCCTACCTCTGATGTCATCCATACATCAATATCATCCTTTTCATCCACAGCATCTGATATGCAAGGAATTAATGATACAAACCGTGATATGAGGTCCTAAAAATAAATAAGAATAAATCTATCTATCCCAGGAATGTGTAGTAGAAAATCCAACTGGCATAATTATATTTAGGGATGGCAGAAGTATCAGAAACTAGCTAACTCACTGTACTATATTTTTACATTCTTTATGTAAAACTAATACCTCCAGTTGGCATGAAAATTACTGAAAGTATGATGAAGTAAAACTTAATTAAATCTCGAGGCTTCCGGCTTGATGCTGCAATGAGACAGCAGCAGGAGGACGGAGCTCTATCACCTCTGCTGAATTCCAACCTGTTTGGGACCCCACAGGGGGTTAAAACCACCCCAAAGAGGTGGTGAAATGAGGGAGAAGCCTGTTGATCATGTGGGGGGGGTGGTAGTTACCCATGTTTGATCCGGAAAACTCTCCAATCAACCAGCGGGTGGAAACAAGCAACTGAACTAGCTTGCTTGCAAGTCGTTGAAAGCTGGCAATGGAGAAGTGATAAATCATCCTAATTAACATCATGTTACCACTGGGTGAGAAATATTTTTTTTTACTATACTGCTTTACTATCTCTGGACGAGACCATTACTACAGCAGAAATAGCATCTTCTATTCCCCAACACTGAGTGAGCAGCAGTGAATCTGGGAAGAGGATGAGAAGCAGGGAGACACAAAGAAAATAAATTGGATAATTATAATTCAAGGAATTTAATTATACTTGAAGGAAGAAAGTTTCTTATTACTTTGTTGTTATAAACCTAAGAATCTTTCTCCTCAAAACATCATTGGCAACAACTCTGCTGAACTAAAATTTGTTTATGCTACTTGTAACAGCGATCTAAGGTGTTGGTAAAAAGCCTAGAATCAATTACCTTGAACACTTTATGGCTGTTTGGAAATCGCTTTCTTTTTGAGGATGGAACTGAACTACAGATAAATTAACCCTAGAAAGCCCAATCCAGTCAAACTGGAATTTCTAAACTGTATCCTGGGTTTTGAACTGTTCAGTATTGTATACTAAAATACACACATGAATGGTTTAAATTTTTTAAAATGTATAGATTTTGAAGGGGCAACTAAGAAGACACCAAGACGCAAAAAACAAATAATTATAAGCAACACATGTAGCAAGATGTTTAACAAGCACGAATTGAAAGTAGATAGATTGAAAAACTAATAGTTTTTTTAAAAAAATAATAATAATTAAATCTCAATGTTCTTATTCTATAATAAGCGTTTCATACTTACCGAAGTGGAGTTAAGGTCATCAGGATACATATCTAACAACTGTTGTGGTGGATTCAGAGTCATAATATACTCTGTTACTAAAATATCAGTTCCTTGATAGTTAAAAACAGAGGTTAGTAGTCTTCTCTTTGGAAACAGTGCTTTGCAAGTTTGCTTAAAAATGTATGCTCTCTGCAATGGCGTTTCAGCTTCATGATCTACAAGCTAAACAATATTTAGTATTCAGACAATATTTTTAAAATTTCAAAGTGATATCTATCTATCTATCTATCTATCTATCTATCTATCTATCTATCTATCTATCTATCTATCTATCTATCTATCTATCTATCTATCTATCTATCTATCTATCTATCTATCTATCTATCTATCTATCTATCTGCCACCTTTCTCCTAAAAGATCCAAGGAGGCTTACAGTATTAAAAGAAATAAAGTTAAAAGCCAAACAATAAATTATTACAATATTTTAAAAGCACTAAACAAATATATTAAAGAGCAAAACTTAAAACACAGAGTAAAATGATCCCTTAAAAAAAAAACATAGTCAAGCAGCCATTTAAAGGAAAGCCTGCCTGAAGAGAAAGATCTTCATCTGATTGCAGAAAGAAAGCAAAGATGCGGCCAGCCTGGCCTTACACGGGAGGGAGTTCCAGAATTAGCGACAGAGAAGGCCCTCTCATGTGTCCCCACCAAATGCACCTGTGCGGGTAGTGGGACCGAGAGAAAGGTCTCTCCTGATGATTTAAATCCCTGGGTAGGCTCATAAAGAGAGATATGGTATTTTATATTAAATATGACAATATTCTTTTTAAATTCTTTTATTCATTAAATGGGATAAATATACTTACCTTATCTGATTCTAAATTATTTTCAGCAGAAGATAACTGTGGTTCAATAGTAGCAAAGATAGTTAAAAAGGTATACGCTTTCAAGTCCTGCCCATAACATTCTTCTTTGGGAGGTACATATGTCTTACTCCATGTATACCCATGTAAAACTGGTGGTGTATTTACTTGAAATGTCCCACAGATCTGTGAAAATATCTATTGTTAGAGTCAGCGAAATAAAGGAAAATAACAAAGACACAGTCCCAAAATCTGAAGACAGCTGTGTAATAATCATATTAAAATCCTATCATTTTTGAAATTAATTCCCTTGCTAAAACCCAGTAGTAAGTCACAGCTATAGTAGATCCATTGAATTAGTGGGGATTTGTTGAGTCAAAACCTATGTAAGTTCTACTGGTTCAGTTTCCCTCCTCTACTTGTGACTTACTACTGGATCTGAGCCATTGTTGTGGGGTTATACTGAAGATACAAGGCAACATCCAAAAGAGAAATGCACAAATCTAGCCTCCTATGCACCTTCAAAACCCAATCCTGACAGCTGGGAAACCCTCCAGAGTTAATTTTATGATGATGCTACTGGCTGCAAGAGGAAGAACAATGGCTGGGTCAAAATTTGTCCCAGCTAATTCCTAAATGTGTGCCTTTGATCTGCACATTTTTGTAAGAGCCAAAACAATGCATTGGGATAAAAATGTCAATGTGCCTTATCCTATTTCTCCATGCATACAAATTTAAGATGCCTTTTTTAAACACATGATTTCTTTCATTAATTATTTTAACAAATAATAATACTTAATTCCCACTGACCACACATATCAATTTTTGACAGAACACTGTATTCTATGCTGATGTGAATGTACATGTATTTCTTAACTTGTATTATGATCTTATATACAGGTATAAGATTATACATTTCTTGTGAAAGATCTATGCCATTATATTTTGTTATTTTTTCTCTAATTTCAATAGATTTTAAAATGTCACATGCCTTTTTTTAAAGCTGTCCAACGAGGCCTTAGAAATAGCAGAGAGGAGAAGGGGAGCAAAATGCAAGGGAGATAGGGAAAGTTACAGAAAGTTGAATGCAGACTTCCAAAGAATAGCAAGGAGAGACAAGAGGGCCTTCTTAAATGAACAATGCAAAGAAATAGAGGAAAATAACAGAAAAGGAAAAACCAGAGATCTGTTCAGGAAAATTGGAGATATTAGTCTGTTCAGGACAATTGGAGATATTAGAGGAACATTTTGTGCAAAGATGGATATGACAAAAGACAAAAATGGGAAGGACCTACCACAAGCAGAAGACATCAAGAAGAGGGGGCAAGAATACACAGAGGCACAACCCAGACAATGTAGTTGCTGACCTTGAGCCAGACATCCTGGAGAGCGAAGTCAAGTGGGCCTTAGAAAGCCTGGCTAATAACAAGGCCAGTGGAGGTGATGGCATTCCAGCTGAACTATTTAAAATCTTGAAAGATGATGCTGTTAAGGTGCTACATTCAATATGCCAGCAAGTTTGGAAAACCCATCAGTGGCCAGAGGATTGGAAAAGATCAGTCTACATCCCAATCCCAAAGAAAGGCAGTGCCAAAGAATGCTCCAACTACCGGTATCTGCTGTAATAGCAGATTAGTTCCATAGAATTGTACTTGGTGAACAAAATTCCAGGAGCATAATGTGCTGGTGAACAAATGTGATCAGTCATCAAATTGCTCTATCCACATTTTAGAACTCTTAAGAGTTTCTGAATCCAGGAGGGTTTATTTTCTCAATGTTTTCTATTTTCCTATCATTTGTTTACACACAACACATTCAAGTGGCAGCTAGCTAGGAAAGAGATACTTCTGTACAGCAATGTACAGGTAATTTTAACTCGCCTTGTTGTCAGACTTTGATGGACAGTTGGCTGATTGTTTTGCTGTGACTTAGTATACAACTGTTCAAACCTCATTTTAAAAGAACAATGTACATTTCCAACTAACCTTTTTACACCCCCTTAATTATTTTGCCACTCTATACAAATAAAATTTAGAACCTCGACAATTCATGCCCCAATAACTTTGAAATAGGCATAGTTTTTTAAAAATAATTTACCCAGTTATACACTACTTTGGGTCAGTGAGAGGCCATAATCTCATCTGCAAAATGCAGTAATGGTGATGCTAATGAGTTACTCTGGACTGGAAGAAACCCAAGCCGGCATTAAGATTGCCGGAAGAAATATCAACAACCTCTCTGATGGCAGAAAGTGAGGAGGAATTAAAGAACCTTGTAATGAGGGTGAAAGAGGAGAGTGCAAAAAATGGTCTGAAACTCAACATCAAAAAAACTAAGATCATGGCCACTGGTCCCATCACCTCCTGGCAAATAGAAGGGGAAGATATGGAGGCAGTGACAGATTTTATTTTCCTGGGCTCCATGATCACTGTAGATGGAGACAGCAGCCACGAAATTAAAAGATGCCTGCTTCTTGGGAGGAAAGCGATGACAAATCTTGACAGCATCTTAAAAAGCAGAGACATCACCTTGCCAACAAAAGTCCGAATAGTCAAAGCTATGGTTTTTCCCGTCGTGATGTATGGAAGTGAGAGCTGGACCATAAAGAAAGCAGACCGCCGAAGAATTGATGCCTTTGAATTGTGGTGCTGGAGGAGACTCTTGAGAATCCCCTGGACTGCAAGGAGAACAAACCTATCAATTCTAAAGGAAATCAACCCTGAGTGCTCACTGGAAGGACAGATCCTGAAGCTGAGGCTCCAGTACTTTGGCCATCTAATGAGAAGAAAAGACTCCCTGGAAAAGACCCTGATGTTGGGAAAGTGTGATGGCAAGAGGAGAAGGGGACGACCGAGGATGAGATGGCTGGACAGTGTCTGCGAAGCAACCAACATGAATTTGACACAACTCCGGGAGGCAGTAGAAGATAGGAGGGCCTGGCGTGCTCTGGTCCATGGGGTCACAAAGAGTCGGACACGACTAAACGACTAAACGACGATTCAGAGAAGCAGACATTATATATTCTCGTTGTCGGTATGTTGACCTATTTAGAAAGGGAAGATTGGAAGTCTCATGAGCTCATAAAATACGAGTAAACAGAAATCCTGACCTTAATCACCACTATAAGGCTGTTGTTACTTCTCATTTGAATCAGAAAATTCAACCCACAACCTAATTTTTTTTTAAGTCATGCATGAAGAATAAAACCATGTTTCTTCTTGCTTGTTACCTTTGATTGTTCCAGAAGAGCAGAGAAAGGAAATGTAACTGATCCAAGCCAATTCTTCCTTATATAGGAATGACTACTGCAGCTTTTTGGGCAAGCATCCTAATAAAACACATACCTTTCGGTTAATTGTTTAGCCTGTGCATATTTCATCCACAACAGAAATCAACAAATACGCAACATGTCTTTAAGGTTATGAACACAACCAATCTGAAATATTTCTCTTGAACAGTTCTAAGGTGTTTAGTAGATTCAACCACCTGTTAAAATAATATAATAATGATTTACCATCAAATAATTTCTGATGTATGATGACATTTTTCAAGTTTTTCAAGTACTCAGATAGTTCTACCTTCTTCTGGGCATACTCTGGGACCATGCAATATGCAATATGCCCAGGACTATATAGGCTGGCTCTTTTCCCAGGAACGCAAAATTGGGAAGCAAACTCCCAAACTCCAGCTTCAAAGATAGATACTGAACTCAGGGTGCAATCATTCTGTTCTGATGTATGTTCAGTCTCTCTTTGGATACCTGAATGTAAGCATTCAATCATGTATTCAGCTTCTGTAGCAGAAAACTGAAGAAGAGACATGATCAGAGATGTGGGTATTTGCATACGAATATGAATATCACTGCATAGCTGGAGTTTACAAGGGTCCAGCCCCTGGGGCCGGTCTGTCTACTCACATGTCTGGCGGTGGTGGCAGCCTCTCTCTTCCTTCCAATCGTTCCATAGTGCTGTTCTCTTCCCAATTAGCTAGCCACTCCTGGCAGACAGTCTCCCTGCAAGGCTGCCGAGTGGCTAGCCGAGTAGTGCTCCGGAGTGATTGGAAGGAAGAGAGGGGCCGCTGCCACTGCCGGACAGGAATGGACAGTCTGGCTCCAGGGGCCGGACCCTCATTAACTCCAGCTACGTGGGGATATTCATATACAAATACCCCCATCTGATGTAAGGTTTTTCATTAAGTCTGGTTGATATTCAGTCAAACTTTGCTTGTGCTACATCTTTTCTCACTGACAGATGCACAGTTTTGTCATTTCCAGAACAAAACACTTTGTAATTATCTGATTGTAAACCTACTATTCCTGTTCATTTTTATTTGCTCACACCAAGTATTACAGTGTTTAAATATTCAATTTCTTGTCTTACAGTTCCAAGTTTGCCTTGACTCATATTTCTCATAGTCCATGCTCTAATTGTGTATCATGAAGCACTGAACTTTCCATTTGCTTCTGTACACATCAACAACTAGACATCTTTTGCTGTAATTCAGTTGCTTCATTAACGTATCTTTAGCTCTTTCCCAGCAGCTGATTTAGTACTTTCTAAACTGCAAATCTCACCTTCCAGCACTATCTCTTGTTCCATTCTGGATTACTTCATCATCCAAGAACTTTCAAGATATAAAATATACAGAAGTGGTTTCCCATTATCTCTTTCTGTATAGTACTGACAAGCATTAGCTTAAGTGTCAACTGCTGTTGTTTATGGAGGATCCTCTGCCAGTGTCACCTTCTCTGCTGCTTCTTAGAACTGCCCCTGTTACTACTGGGACTACTTCTCTCTTCTGCTGCAATGATCAGTTCCTGAAGTGGCTGCATACATCTTGGTCTTGTGTCTGACCTTTAACTATTCCACCTTGGGGACCTTGCTGGGAGTCTAAAGTTGTAATGGAATTTAGGTTCCTGGCAGAACTGTTTTCAACTTCACCGACACATTGAAATATCCCCACTGTATTAAGAGGTGAGCTGGTTGGGTAAGTTGGGTAACTATATATCCCACCCATCTAGACCAAAGTCTACTCTGGGCAGCTAACAATAAGACATAAAAATAAAAGCAATATAATAAAATAAAGACAACATTAATAATATAATTCAAGATGGCAAAGAATAATTAGGTGATGAACGGAGGGAAAACTTGCCTAAAGAGCCAGGTCTTAAGTTTGCTCTTAAAAACACGCAGCGAGGGAGTTACCCAACTTACCCAACCAGCTCACCTCTTAGAAGCACATATTAATACAGTGGAGATATTTCAATGTGTCAGTGAAGTTGAAATAGGTAGGTAGGTAGGTAGGTAGGTAGGTAGGTAGGTAGGTAGGTAGGTAGGTAGGTAGGTAGGTAGGTAGGTAGGTAGGTAGGTAGGTAGGTAGGTAGGGAGGTAGGGAGGTAGGTAGGTAGGTAGGTAGGTAGGTAAGTAAGTAAGTAAGTAAGTAAGTAAGTAAGTAAGTAAGGGAATTGGGTGCCTGGCTGTTGAGCAAGGGCTTGGGACTCGTGACTTTCCACTATGCCTTCTGAGGGGGAAAAGAGCCAGCCTGTGCAATCTTGGACAAGTTGCATGGTCCCAAAGTGCTCCCAGGTCTGGTAAACAAGTTCTAAGTATTCCACTCTTATAAACCCTGAAATGGTCCGTCATAATTTGGAATTAACTTGAGGGCTTGTGATCATCACAACTGGCTAGATGTAATGAATAGATATGTATTACTATATTCAAGAGACTATGAAAGAGAAGAGGAACAGTTCCTTGTGTTTGGACAATTATTGAGGTAAAGGACTGTTACTGCTCAGGTGCTGTATTAGCAGCGTATTTTAACTGCATTTAAAATTCTGCCCTAATATAATTCTGTTTTACTATTTCATATTGCTTTCTTCTGTTGAATTTTTTAAGTTGAATGTTACTACTGTGTACCAGTTTGAGGGAAAGGGTGGCATATAAATGTATATATAATTGTTAGTCAAACATTACCTCATGCTTTTCAATCATGCATTCATCAAAAATGTTAATATTGATCTTGTCTTTTATTTTAGATAAACCTGAGAAAGTGTAATCACGCCCTGGACAGCTGAAACAAAAAACCCAAATTAAATTATTTTAAATTAAATATACAATTAAAAAAAGCTTTTTTCTATTTTAAATGCATTCAGTCTGAAAACAGAAATCAAAGACCATTTTAATAATAATGTCACTTAAACTAGGATGCTTACGGAGGGACATCTCCTTATGACCAGCCAAACAGTACTATGCACCTATTTCATCTTTTCCTCCTTAACATATGTTTTCAACTAATAAAAAAGTTGGAAGGAATATTTTGACTATGCGGACCTTTGTCGGCAAGCTGAGG